TTTTAAAATGATGGAGAAATTTGAGGTATCTAAATCATGTTAACTGAACTAACCTCATGTTCGAAGAATCGATCTTCCAGAGTCTTATCACCAAGCCCTTCACCAGAACCATCAAATAGCGATTTATAATCCTGAATAAATAAATAAAATTAATAAAACATCTTACGGCGTAATAGTCAGCGACCGCCCTGACCTGATCATAGTCATCGGCATTAGAGAGAGCGTTCAAGCCCTCAGGATAGAGTTTTCCACATTTGGGATACAAGCAAGATCTTTCGTCCTTAGATAGCTCAGTACCAAACGAATTAATAGTAATAATAAATGCTCGTCGATCAGCCTCAAATGCCAAAAGTTCGCACATGATTTCAGCGGTTATGCCCCCAAGAGATTTGCAGTACGAGTAGAAGTCTTCAAGATATGCCTTGTATAACGTGTTGCGGATTATTTCTATATTTAACTCGTCCAAATCTTGCTCCGATATACAATCAATAAAGTACGGAGCTAAAAATACGTAAATATAACTAATGTTACCAAGTGGTGTATCAACAAGTACGGCGTTATATAGCTCGGCAGGGGTTGATGCAATGTGAAGTGTTTCCATTTGCAAAAATGTTCCTAGTGGATGGCACTTTGTGATCAATTCAGATATAGGTCTTTCATGCAAGGTGCCAGTGATAAGAAGTATTATATTATCAATCATGTAACTATATGATATGTAATCCATAAAGGTTGCGAGTGGTTCGACGGCCTGATGTCGTAGATGCCGGAATTCTGCCACTATTTTTTCTCTTATTTTAGCCTCAATAACAGCCACCGTTAAAGGGCCAGGTTCATTGGCGAGGAAAGTACCGTAATCAGTATCCTGAAGATGCAGTTTAAGATCTAAAATAGGGTAATGTACACATAGTACCTTCAAGGTTTTCACATTGCATAAGAATCAAATAATCAGATTGCTTAAGTATGCCCCCCTTCAATCCACGAACAAGACCTTCAAGGTAGCCGCAGTCGGCATTAAAATTTGTCAGTGAAAGTGACATGACCTCAGTCATAGCAGGTGAAGGAGATAGAACGCGCCCAAAGTGGCGAGTGCGTTTAACTAATCAACACACAAAAAAGGTATTCAGGGCTCACATAAATGAGCTTCTAGTAACTGTTTAATTTCAACTTAATTAAAAATTATATCTAAGAATAAAGATTTTTTAGCATATTTAAGTATACAAGTAGTAATTAGGATTACATAACATTAGATATAGGGGCCAAGTTCTTGTGACCTCTTTCTTGGTCGTCATATCCTTTAGCTTTATAAAAGTGATTTTTCATAATTTTCTTACCTCCGCCCTGTTGTCAAGACGACCTAGATGAACGCATCTTGTCCGAAGTCCTTTGCCATATTATTCATGAAAATGTCCAGCGTCGGGACGTGAAATTGATACGTTCCAAAAAATTTCGCCGGCACCGTAGGTGGCACTATTATTGCGCCTTACCATTTTTAGCACCAAGCTAAAGCCTATAAAAAAGAAAAGTTAAATCATTTCCTTGACCAACTTTCTGTCTAACGGTTGCATTATCACTCATCTTTCTGTTCTGGCAAATCTACATACTCCAGCCCTATCACAATTACTGAACTATTTATATTATACTCCTTAGTGAGTGTGCTATTTTTAAAGAGTAAATTGTGATCTCATCGTACCTGCTGTTTATCTTGTTTCTTTTTCCTCTCGATTAACTGATCCGACTCGAATATCCTATACGAATCTCAGCATGGTCACTTATCTCATTGCTTAACTGATTTCATTCGATTCCAGTCCTAGTAAACGCTTTAATCCTAACTATATTTATCAAACCTTTTGGCTTGATCAAACAGTTTGTCTAGGCTCTTATACTAGGTCTGCAGATATCAGGTAATATCATCACGAGTCATCTTCTTGATTCAGCCTAGGTAACCTGAGCAAATTGTGAAAGTTTCCCTATAGTCTCCGGCTGCATCTCGATTGTATTCCTAGTCAATTTGGCTCC